AAATGCGATCCTATTTCGGGAATGAACTCGTGTGAGTGATAAACTGTTATGTCAAAGCCATAATAATCCTTTTCAAAGGGTCCTCGTTCTAATGATGGTAATTGGAACGGTATCGCGCAATATTTAATTAAACAGGGTATTAGTAAAGGTATGCGTTTGAGAATTAAGTCTCAAAAATTGCTAAATTAGATAAAGAAAATTTATTCGTAAAAATCGTGTGCAGATAATTCAATTCAAGAGCACTCAGCGATAATCCTCGCAAGATGTGCTAAAACATGAACACTGAGATTTCTAATTGGGGACATTTTTCGTGTTTACCAAGAAAATATTATGTTTTTTCTTGATAGATATGGGGAATTGTTATTGTTGAAAGCTTGAAAAAATAACCTCCTGATTTTATAAAAGTCAAGCAAACAGAGCAGACAATAAGACCGTGAAAAAAGAATGAGATGTTTTTCCAGAGCCGGCTTTTAAACGAAACACAAGAAAAATAAAAACGTCACTCAACTCATGATGTGTGATATTGTGATATTGAAATTATGAAGAATTTGTTTGAATTCGTGTCAAGAGTTTCAGCTAAAAGCGGAAATTCCGACCGATCAATGATGAATATACTCCTCTCATACCTCTAAACCGTTACAATTTTTCTTCCCCGAATGTGAAAAACGTCGCGTGACATTTCACCTGCATTACACGGCTTTTGTTTCAACACAAATCAATCCCAACTCCCAACAAACTAATTCCGAAAGCAATTACTCGGTTTAGATTGACGGCTCAGGGCTCCACCTACTGTCTCAGTAGTGACGCTAACTCCTCCCCAAAATTGAATAATAAACAAGTAGTGATTTATCTCGCTGGATTTAATAACGCAAACAAAACTGCACTTCTTTGCCATTTAACACCAAAGTTAACCGACCTTAGGTGATATTGTTATTGCTTGTTCTTATAGAGTCGATGAGCTGTTAGGAACTTCCTCTGCTGCATTAATGAAATTGCCCCTAGTTGAAACTACACTTCGAATTACTTATTAAAAATTCAACCCTTCGCTTGTTAATTTTGCATGGAAACGAGACAAGATGGGAACGCTTTGTCTCGGTTAAGACTTTTATGGATTATTAACAGAGGAAAAAGACAAGATTTTCGTGTTTAACACTACAAAATAATTGGCCACGCCTTGGCCCCCCTCCCACTAATGGGAATAATGTAAACAAACAGAATTTCACCATCGATGAGTTTCTCTTATTTCAGAGATTCAGATTCTAGCCCAGTAGAAAGAAAAGTTCATTTTTCTCTTGATTTTGGACTTAGAATAATTTTTTGACAATAATGTCACTTTGACAAATAAGTTTTCGCAAGCTAAATAAAAAAATGTGTGGGAAAACCATAATTTTGATAAATAGCAACTCAAAGAAATAGCTTTAAGATAAAAAACAAAGTCATTTTTAACAAAAACTATCATTATTTATTAATAAATTAAAAAAAAATATCTTTTATTTAACGCCAAAACTGCAAAAGAGAAACATTTTTCGCTTCCCGTGAAACGAGCAAAATCCAAAATCAAGAGAAAAATTGATTTTTTTTGGCCTAAAATCAAAGATAAAATTTTTTCACTTTCCTTATCCTATAAGGAAAGTATTGTAATCGGCTGAAACCTACCCAGATTTTTACATTTCTGGACGAATTATAGCTTCAAAACACCAAAAAAATAGGTTTGGGCCATTGGGTGGTGTGTGTGTGTGTGTGTGACTGTCTGTAAATAGCATATCTCGAGAACGATAAGAGCTACAAACTTGAAATTTGGTATGTAAGTTACTCGTAGGAAGGAGATGCAGCACGAAACAATTGGTGAAAATTGAACGCACCGTTCATCTTTCATAAGTTCATTATTAGTCATTATGCTCATATAAACCAGGTGCTTATATCAGAAAATTTTGAAAAACAAGGTTTAGTGGTGGGTTTTGAAATGAACTAATTCTCTTCTTGAGAGGTGCAGATGCATATCTTTGCTTTGAACAAACGCAATAAAACGATCATGTTGTGGGTTATACCCTGCGGTGCGGGCCGGCCTGTTGTAAATCTTGCTGCAGGTAGAGAAAATTATAAAATTATGTGTATTATTGGTTGCCTACTTTCAATTTAATTTTTGCTTTATATCAAAGAATCAAGAACAGTTATCAAATTCGCATTATAACAGGGATCTGTATTTTTAAATTACCTATAAAATGTTTTTTTTTTAATTCAATACGGTATACCGTTATCAAAAAATCTTAATAATTAAGATTTTCACATTTTATTCAATAAACAAATATCTATTAACTTATTTAAAGCGGGAATATTATCCTGGTCTCTATTTACCTCTAAAGAAACACTACAAACATCAAGAAACTCTTCAAGTCTTAATTTGCGGCTAAAAAGAATGAAATAAATTTACATGTTATAGATATACGCCAGCTTTCAGGGGGTCTAAGGCTTAACGCCAAAAATTGGGAATATGATTAGCTGATAGACTGCTGCATTGTTGGCTCACATGCATCGAGTATAAAAGACAGAAATCAATGAAGCACGTAACACCCGATGACGACATAAGCCGCAAATTTCTCTCAACTCGTAACCAAAACGAGGAAAATCTTGTCGTAAGTGAGAAGCTGCAATGTTAATCAAAGCATCGCAACTAACGAGAACCACATACAAGAGCTACTCGTGTCGTTTTATTGTGTTTTGCTGAATCAATTAGAGCGATATTTTTGTAGACGCCACGTCGCCACCTGATTTAGACGTCGAGAATTTGAGAGAGAAACCACAAAACTTGGAATGCACTGACATGCATCTAACCGAGGAGGATATGTACCAGCTTGTAAATACGTCGTGCAGTTTGTTACACGGTGAAAGCACAACGGAGCGCTAGCAGACGCCCAGACCTCATTAATATTTGTCAAAGAACAAGGGGTGTGGTGGTTACCACCAAAAATAAAACTTCGTATCAAAAAAGGATTAATTGGAAACAGAAAAAACGATACAGCGAGTCACAAGGTTTATCTATAGATTTGCATTTTAAAAGCTGCAATTAAGTTTTCCCCCACTCTGACTCACAACTGAGCTCAGAAACGACGCATTTGGTTGGCTAACTGCAAGTGGGAGGGACAACATGCACCTATAACGGGCAAAAGCATATTTGAAACATAAGCAGTTAGTAAAAGCACTACAATACCATTTTGAGTAACCAAAAAAATATATTTTTTACTGAGGTAAAGAAGGTATATGTGCTTTTATTAAAAAGTAATACCAAAAAATTATTAAAAAGAAAGTTATCCTAACTCTAGTCCTATGAAGATATTTTTTTTATATGACTGTAAAATCCGCTTATAAAAATATACAAATTATACAAAGTGTTTAAAAAATGCCACACTAAAACTATGGTGCGCTGTCTAGAAGCATTTGGTGAGTGAGGGAAAAATATTTAAAAAATAGAGGCATTTGGTGATTAGAGGAAAAATATTTAAAAAATTTTTGATGTTAAATTTGGACGTGGATGAAGGTTTATTTTATGGTAAATCTGGCAACTGCGTGTTGCCATACCTACCTTGAGAAAATCAAGAGAGTTGCCGCATCAATTTATGCATAATTATAAATAATTTAGAAGAGGTAAATCGCATTGAATGTTAAAGACCACAAACATTGCGTTAAAGATTATTAAGCTACCTTCCATTCTGCATGTTTTAATTGCATTTTGAGTGTTATTTGGTAATAATAAGTTCAACTAACAACGTTTGAAGATTCTTACACAAAGTCCCCACTGTGCACAAAACTAAAAACAAAGAATTTTTTAAATAATTTTTTCTCACTCACCAAATGCTTCTAGACACCGTCCCATAGTTTTAGTGCTGGATTTTTAAACACCCTGTATATTATTATAAAAATATACAATTTATTGTTTTTCAACTTTTACACTTTATTAACTACCCCTGCCGTGTAGTTGTAGAAGTTGAAAATTTTGGAGGTAAGTTTTTCAGGCGTTGGAAAAGTGGTGGTGCTACTAAATAATTAAATAATAGCATTTTATTATACAAGTAACGAAAAGTTGTTCATTATTTGCGAGTGGGTAGCACGAGTTTTTGAAAAGAATCACGATCAGCTAATGACAATTTTTTTTTACATTCATTCATTTAAAATAAAAAATTTGAAATGTTCCAATTTAGTTGTTGATATCTTAATTTGCCATTAATTGTCATATAAATTTGTCATAAAATAAAAGCAACCAAAACAATGTATCGATAACAAACGGTTGAAAATTATTTAAAAGAGTAAAGTAAAACGTGTAAAGTGTAATTATTGCATTTTTTCATGTGCCATTGGTGTTTTTAACATATTACATGTGACGGCTTGCCGCCGCGAGCAGTGAGGAGACCCTCTTTTGACACAAATATGTGTTGATTTAAGTTGACTTCCGACTTAAAATTGAGACAAATCGATTGGAAGTAGCATAAATTGCTTTATTTTGGTCTAAAATTTGATTTTAAGCAATTATTTCTATAAAATACTTTGATTTAGAATGATTTCTGTGTTAAAATCGAGCAAAATTGCATTAAAAATAGCTCAAATTTTTGCAAAAAACTGTTATTAAAGTTAAGCCAAATCTATTAAACATAGCACAAGTTGCTCCATCTCAGTCTAAAATTGGGACTGAAGTAATTATTTTTATAAAATACATCGATTTAAAATGATTTCTGTAGTAAAATAGAGCAAAATTGAATTGAAAATAGCTCAAATTGCTTTATTTTGGAAGAAAACCGTTACTTAAGCATTTATTTTGTTGAAAAACTTTGATTAAAATTGATCATTATTATATCGAGTAAGATAACGAAAAAACTAAATCAGATAATTGTACTATAGTAACCATTTCTACAATAAAGTTGTACTACTTCTACTCGTGTCTAAGGTATAAACAACAACACTATTAATGTCTATAAGTCAACATAAAATAGAAAACAATGTTGTAAATACCTGCAAAAAAAAATTTATTGACAAAAATAATTAAAAAAAATTAGTGCTGAAGCCATTTTAGTGTCGTTTTTGGTATACAAAGAGTTAAACTTTTGTAGAATTAAAAACTTTAGCGACTCGTTTTTGACTTATTTGTGTTTTTTCTTCAACTTTTTGCACTTTTTGTACCATCGTGGATTTGGGAATGGTCAAACCCCGTTTTTGTGGCAACAAATTGTGCAAAACTTCATACATTGTCGGGTTAATAATATTCGAGAGGTCCAAAACACACGCGTAGATAAATCCTGAATAAGGATTAAGATTATCGATGCCATCTACCCATGAAATTTCTTCTAGCACATCGTCTACGCACAAATCGGTCGAAAATTCTTTATCAACTTGAGGTTTAGGCACATATGGGTTGTTGTAAACGAAGAAGAGAATTCCACTGCTGGTGGATGGTGAGAGCATCAATTTCCAGAACCATCTTGCAACTGGTAAGGAATTACCACCGAACAGGTACAAGTCGATTGGGTTTCCATTATTATCGGGCAAATCGGCTACTCCGAGAGTACCACCAAGGATGGTAACGTCCCCGAAGTCTTTCCCATGGGTCAATAGCCAACGTAGTGACTCTTCCATTGCTTCCCAGTTACCGGAAGTAACAGTTGTCCATTGTAGAGGGGCATTGGCCATGTCAAAAGTCGTGTCTCTTTGAAACGGTGACAAGAAGTTGTCATAAGGGGCCAAAAAGCCCCCTTCCAGATAAGACCTACTAGTGATGTAGCCTGTCGCAACCCCCAAATCGTTAATTCTTTGTTCAATGGTATTGTAAACTTGTTCCAAATCGATTTGAAAAATCCCAGACCAGACTTTAGAAACCCCATTGGGGTCGTACCGTGGCAAATCGTCCATCCATTGGTTGGTGACATATTTCACATACAAGACACTCATTTCCGTTGGGTTGTAACAAATCTTGTAGGTTTCGACCCATTGATCGTCAATACTATACCCAACAGACTGGATTTTGCCCCCATTTTCGCACCCATCACTTGTCACTTGTTCAAAAAGGTCGGGTCGTAATCTCTGATCCAGAATACAATACAATTCGTTAAAATCGACGATTTGTTGGCTGTTCAAAGTCGAAATTGTTGTGTCCTTGTGGCACAGAGCCGGCTCTCCGTTTTTCAAAAGAGGATAATTAAAGTCGCCTCCAGGACACCCGATGTAGAAAGTCTCTCCTTGGGCAAAAAACACTTGGGTGGTGTTGGACGCAATGGGAGTTGGAAATAGCAAAGACGAATTTACCACCAAAGGGGCACTTGGAGAGTTTGCCACCACGTCGAGATAACACCCTGAAAGTGAATTTGGAGACAAGTTAAGGGCAATTATCACTTACCATCAGCTTTTGGGTTGATTTGTGGAGCCGAAAGGACAAAAGAAACGGAAATGGCGACTAGTAGAGTCGTTTGAATCATCTTGATTTGTTTCAGATTTAACTCCAAAATGCGTTTTTATACTTAAAGTAAACATCTCAGGTTTATCTTTTCACATTAAAAATGATACAAAACAATTGAGACACTTCCAGATAATAGTTTTTCCGTTAATTGAAACACAAAAATGAAATAATTATTTTTAAATCGAGTAGTTATCAAGTATTTGATATCGTCATATCAGATGAGTAACAGAATTATCTGCCTTATCGACC